TTTGTGGTATCGATATTCAATAACGAATACAAAACAGAAAAGACAGCTTAACGATAGGATATATTTTTATTATTTATTGTCGCTAGAAATTACGCACTTTTTTTAGACGCACCTGTATCTTTTTAAGTTGCAACGAGGACGCGTTTCCGGCGAAACGTGGCGTTACGGTGAATTTATTGCACGTATTACAGCATCCTCACAACATCGACCGTTCTTTTTGTTCGCGCGAGCGGTGGTGGTGGAATCGCGAAGAATCGCGGCGCGTGTTTGTTTTTAATCATTCTCGCTGGAGCCAGCGCAGGAGAGAGCGTAAATCTCATAAATACATAAATACAAAAATGTCAGCCCGGAGCGAATCCGCAGCGCCGCCGCGGGCGGGCGCGCCTCCCTTTTTAGTCCGCCGTACGTTTGCTTTAGATTTCTCTGCTTTTTCTCTTCCGAGCAAATTGTGCCGATCGACGTGTTTTCTAAAGCCGAACCGCATAAAGAACGCTAAAGCGCGAAGGCTCGTCCTAACAAAGAAAGATCGCTTCGTGTGGCCGGACGAATTTATTTGTTACGAATTTTTACGAATAAGAGATCTCGACGCTGTTAAATGCAACACTTTGATGTTTTCCCAGAATGTTGGAAACACAGAGAATGCTGACCAAACAGAAAACTTAAAATTGATCAAAGAATCAAAAGAGTGCGAGAATATTTTATTCGGGGTGTATATGTGCGCGGTATCCCCGCGAGGAAACGACGCGAGCAAATGTCCTTTTCGGTTTGATTATCCACCGATTCGGTTGATGATCATCTTTAGTCGATCGCAAAAATTCAACACTCAATTACGTGAAGAAATTCACGTACAGTCATTTAATTCGTCATTACAATTTTACAGGGAAATCTTGAGAATAATTGTACATACACACATACACACGTATGTAATTATGCAGGCTACTCTGCGGGATTGTGGAAAGGAGACAAATTACACGAATAATGTCTTATTACGAGAGAAAGAGGGAAGCAAAGCGGCAAATTATTCGCGGCATGGCTTTTATGAAATATTCAAATTACCCTTTCCCCATCAACGAGCTTGATTAGCGCGGAGGTAATGTCCCCCGTTCTCGTAGCCGCATCTTTTTTTCATCGGGTGAGTTTATCGTTTGAGCAGGGTTTGACTTCGGCCGCGGTAGTTTTTGTTTCTTTACACGTTCAATTACGTGTCTCGATAAATCATTAAAGTATCTTACTACAAAAAAAAATTTAATTATTACTTCCTGTCCTAATTTCCGATTTGTAAGATCGTCAATTATAAATACGGTCGAGACAACCACAAGCTGCATAAATAAAGACCCCCTGTCTTGAACTTAATTTGCTCGAAACTACCGCTCGATATATGACGAGATAATTTGTTTCCGCCTAACATTGGCCGACTGCGAATATCGCGTAACTGCGCATGGGTTCAGTCCGTTCAGTATTGAATGGGCTCTCGTATAAATTATTCATTACGACGTTTCATCCAGTTTTAACTCTCCTTTACCTGCCCGATCCACTCTCCCGAGATCTCCCCACGTATTACTTTGAATGTACGGGGAACGAGCTTTACGAATTATTCCACGTGACATGTGTGTTATTGCGTTATATATTCCACGGATATATTGTATTCGCTTTGTACTATGGATTGCTGTTGGTAATGCTCTTGGTGAAACGGACGGTCGAATAAAAATCTCGTTAAAACACCAAGGAAGTAATTATTGTAAAGAAACGTATGAAGTATTTTGCATGAAAATGAACAAAAAATTCGTCTGTTTGACATATATAAAATTCTTCTCTATCACATTTGTTATTCTCTTTATTTAAAAGAATTTTTTTATTAAAATTGAAAAATCCAAAATAATAGAAACGAGGGAAATTTAGGTAAAATAGCAGGAAATATTATTAACATATCAATAATATACACCAGTTTATGAAGATATTCATTTTGTTAATTAAATAATGCTGCACGTATCAAATTTGTGTATAATCTAAATATTTATGTTCCTAAAATAACATGGAATTTATATTACGCGTTCGAATTTAATTACGTTATTGTCGGTCATGTAAATGACAGATCGTGAAAAATCGAGGCATGTTCTACATTTCCCGCGCGTTACACGCAGTGGGTATTCTGGAATATGGCTGGGCAGTTCGATGTTGTATTCCGCGATACTTGGAGATATACAAATGCGCAAAAATTGCCGTGCATCCTACTTGGCCAGGATTGGTCTGTCGATCGCGGGGCAGGGGCGCGCAAATTACGCGAGAGCGATTTTCTCTCGCTCTCGGGAATACCTGCCAATCAGTGTCGCGAATTCTCACACGGCGTGTTATCCTCTATCTACTCGCCGGCAACTCTTCCAATCGCGGTATTCGATGTAGGTACTTGCTCCCGCGCTCCGGCCTCATCCCGCTTGCCATCGCAGAGCGTTGCACGAGCGCGACGTCACATCGGTAATTCCGTGTCAACAATAATTCCGCGTACGATCCGAAAGACACGCGCGGCTCGATGTGACAGGTCACTGGAGAGCAGATGCACGCGGCATCCGGGATATGCGATTCGCGGCGATATACGAATTTCAAAAGAGAAAGAAGGAGAGGGATAGAATTCCCAGGAAAATCGAACGTTAAATAATTAGTGAAACATCAAGCGACCATCGTTTAATTCCGAATTTTCATTTGTATTTTTACTGAATTAAATTAATCTCCTGAACCGTGACGCAATATACAAAGCCGTGTCTTAATAAAGACGGCTGTCAAATTGATTTTTTTATCTCGTTTAATTCAGATTTTCGAATCTTTCGGACATATAAAGAAAATTATATTTCCGAATAGATATTTTAGCAATGTTTCGTAAATTTTGCGAAATATAACAGTATAAAATATCACGAGCAGTAGCCCTTTCCGATCCAGTCCAGTGTAGTATCGATTTGTTTTTAAATTTCTTGAATCTCTTGGCTAACGTGATTATTTTGACAATTAATTTTACAAAAGTATATTATCTCAGTGGTATCGGGATTATTAGGTGTGCTCGATTTCGAGTCCCGTGATAATTGTCGGCACGAGTAAATTTACGCAGTTTCGCGCAAGGAGGAACGGAACTATCAAAGCGATCTTATTTAGGAGCGAGCGATGCCGACGTTTGCGGGAGGCTAAGAACGAACGTCGAGAACTTTTTAATTGGGCGTCCTTAATTAGCTGAGTCCCGAGTAATTATACTGTCTCTCGCTCCGTTTCCGTACGCCAACTCTCTCCCTCTCCCCGTACCCCTTTTCACCCGCTTCGCTTTCCGTGCCGCTCGTGTTTTCCCTCGGGTTCCTTGCTCGTGATTAACTATATTTGCTCAATTTCATAGCGGATAAACGCGAGTACATTCTCTAAATAGCCGTTGGAAACAACTCTGTTTGCGCGTTTATTGTCGAGCGAGAATTCTACAAATATCTGATTGCCGATCAAATTAACGTTCTTGGAAAATATCGATTTTACTCCAGAAAATATAGATTCGTCCTAACGAAAGAGATTCGTGAGTACCAAAGCACTTGTGAAGATCGAACGTTTCAGTTTGAGTTGAAACGTTAAATTGAAGCGTAATCGGGTCATCGAGATTAATTACAAGATTCGCGGATATCCACACAAGTGTAACCACGTATACATTCTTTTCGTATCCTTAAATAATAAATAAACGATAGAAAATATATATATATTATTAATAGTTTTTACTCTCTTTTGACACTCGAACGTATGATGCGATTTTAAAGAAGAAAAAAAGAAATTTATTCGAACGAGAAAGTGCGTATTTTTATTTATCTCGTTTTAGTGTCTGCTCTAGTTTACTATCGAGCTTCATTGAAATTTCATTTGGTGACTCTAACGACTCGGAATGGCACACGATCGACCATTATCGCGCCGCGTGTTCGTGGCGTTTTGTACGCGTTCCGCGTATCGCGCACGGCTAACACGCGCAGCGCGTGCATTTATATTTCACGGCGGGCCGCAAACACGTTGGCGTTGCCGAATCGCGTCAATAGACCAGCCCCTTTGACGTTTTAGCGACAGTGCGCGTCATATCGCAATTGCACCGAGATAGGATCTAACACACGCGGCGGCGGTGACGGTGGTGGTGGCGCATTGCATATGCACCATCTGATACAAGCGTATCGTCGCCTGGTCTCGCTCTCGCGTGCGCTTTTATATTTTATTTGATTTTTATCGGCCGTCCCTAACGGCATATCAGCGCGAAACACGCGCTCTCGATTCGGAAACGTTTTCCCCGTTTCAATCGCGCGGAATGATCGGAGGAATTCATTACATTACTCGCGACAAAGAGCGTTTATGATTATGACAATTTTGCAAATTTAACTTATCGAAAATTACTAGGGGAAGGTTTTTTTATTTCTTGAAATTATCGTAATTTTTAAAATAATTTTTCTACACTGAAAAAAAAGATTGGCTGCTGCAGCAAATTAGATGAAATATGGCATAGCATTTTTAATTGGTTGCAACAGTCAATTTTTGGTTGTGTTAGTCTATCGAAATCCTATGTTGACATTGCAGATAGGTTAACCAAAAATTGGCTGCTGCAATTAAAAATGCTATGCCATATTTTACCATCTAATTTACTGCAGCAGCCAATCTTTTTTTCAGTGTAGTATAAGAAATTTCTTCTACAGATTTTCTGTAATTTAATTGTCTTACATTAAAAAATATAATAGTAATAAGGCTCAATAAATTCAAAAATTAAAAAAGAAATAGGGCTACGAGCCAAAGATTAATCGTTATAAATTTAAATTAGTAAAATAAACATATCAGAATATAAAAACTTTAATGCCGGCTATAAACAAATAAATAAAGACAAACGTTTCAATCCCTATTCCTTTTTTAATTTTTGTCTTACATTATCTTCAAATGGAAACTATTTTATTACTCTGCTCTTTTCATTACTCCTACATATATTGTACAATAATTTTTTGTTATGATTTCAGAGGGTGGTAAACAGATAGGACCTCACGCTTGCACGGTGTGCCAAAGCGTCGTCGAGGGAAGCGCGCATAGTCGCGCGTTACCACGTAGCCAAGCGTCGCAGTACGGCCTACGGGAGGATCAAGTACCTCCTGGTGCGCGTGTCTGTAACACTTGCCGCTGCAAGGCCGTCCGTGGACGTTACACCGCCTGCCCGTTGCCGGGCTGTCCGAATCTGAGCAGCTCTAAATCGAGAGTGAAACGGCTAAGAGCGTTACCTTCCAAGTGGCTTGACTTGCCACCGGAAATTCGGGAGCCAATCGCTCAAGAATTCCGTGAGTATTCTCCGCAAATTTTTATGAAATTTATACGCGCGAGTGTGCTCTTCGCGAATTTATGTCCGGAAATATAAATCTATTGTAAATTTGATTATTATTATGTTTTATGTTTGCATGTCTTTACGAGTGTGCAAGTTTTGGATTTTTGAATTTTATGAAAGTACAAAGTGAACTTTATTTAAGTGCTCATTCCGTAGCTAAACCGCTTCATTCCACTTATTTCAGAAATACCAAACAGCGCGACGAAATGTTGCTCGGCTTGCTTCAGCCGCATATCGCGCCGTTTGGCGCCGCATCTTGCCGGTGGTACCGAAGTATCCGAGGATGGCGCCGATGCTTTATCGCGTCAGTGGACGGACGAGGAGCTCGAACAACTCCGCAGGGCACTTCGGGAACATGGTACCAATTGGCCGAAAGTCGCCGAACAGATACCCGGCAAAACGAATCATCAGTGCAAAAACTATTATTTTGCTTACCGAAAGAAATTGAGCCTCGATCAAGTAGTTGCCGAATACTACGCCTCACTGGGCGAGGAACGAAGACCGTGTCTGACTGACGAGGAAGAAAGTGGCAGTAGTACTAGTAGCTGCGATGAACTGGCTGTAAGTGTCTCACGAATTATTAAACATTATTTAGTTTAAACACACAATCAGAATTTGAAATGAGAAGTATGTACATTTTCGTGTAAGAAAATATACGTAGTTTGCTATTCCTAAATTACAAATGAAACTAGCTAATTAGTTTTTGGTACAATTGGTAATTTACATTAATTTTTTAAATGAGAGATTGCGTCAAATTAAACATTTTACCTTTTTGCGTATATATCAATTAAACTTACTTTATTTTTTCTTTTAGGTTCATGATTCAAGTGATACAGCCAGCGCAGGAAGTCCTGCAACGACGATGACAGGCAGTAATGTAGCATCGAGTGGTACTGCGGCGACATCGTCGTCATTATCGATGTCTTTCCGATCCAGCGAGCAAAAACTCGGCGAGAAACTCTCGGATATAGCCGTAGTATCACTTGTACCGCCCGGATCATCTCAACAGTCTTCCAGCAGTGGAACTGCTACTGCTACTTCGGGTGGCAGGGAAGATTACGACAGTTCTGCCACGGTAAGACAAAGCTCTCGGACTTTCTTTTACAAATTTTGCCTTGCATAAGATATACATATAATTAGTTTTATTATGGACTTAGCATTTTTGAAAATGATAAGAATGCAATTACAAAACAAGGCGCAAAACAATGTTTTTGTACGATAGGACCGTCTGATAGAGGTGCGCTAATTGTTTCAGGAGACAGCGGACGAAGGTCAGGGAGGTGCTGACTTGGAAAATAGCAGTGTTGTGGTGACTCTGACAACCTCCAATAGTAACACAACATCGTTGCCACAACATCCGCAGCCACCACCAATTGTTCATTCACCACCTTCAACAACGAGTAATTCCAATCCACTCACTGTCAAGGATCTCATGCTTGGAGTCATCGAGATGCAATTAAAACGTACTCCCAACAGTCCAGCCGACGGTGGTGGTTCGTCAGCACCCAATAGTTCTGGCACTCCGACGATATCTAGTATTTTGAAGACAGATCATCGTAACGATATAACATATATTCGTGGCTACAAATCTTCATCAAATATAGCAAATACTACGTTGTCTAATAGAGATACAAATCTAGCCACGCTCTCTGTTGTCTCGGGACCTCATCATGCTCATCGTTCTGCTCCAAGTCCACAACCAATTGGTAAGTTCATTGAATAATCTATTGTTATATCTAGGATTCTTACTTAAAACTTACTCTTTTTAAGTCTAATTTTTATAAAAACTTATTTTCAAAGTAATGACTTTATCACGTTCATTTAAAATCCATTTTTATTTTTATCTAATCTGTGCCTTATGGTCATTCATGATTTATTAGAAAGATGGGCTAGATTCATGATATATGCATTTTCTTTCTCTTTAGGTCAAATGCAAGCTACCATTACACCTTGCCCACCAACAGTGCCGAGTAGTCAAGCTTCATCTTCGGACTTGCTGCCTAAGGAAGGTTTGGTTGTCATGCAAGTACAACAAGCGTTGCGAGAGACGGAAGGAACGTTGGATTTGAGTATCAAAAAACCAAGATTACAACAAGATTACAATCATTCAATGCAGCTTCACAAGCCGCCGACGGTGACGCTTTATCGACCGGAACCGCCGCCGGGCGCGTATTATCATCCTCACGCGCCTCATCCCGAACAAGGTCGTGGCGCGAAAAGTCCATTGATTTATGCTTCGTCACCGCGACCACAAGCACCTATTACACCTAAGATGAATAAAGTCACCGTACCACCGCCTCATCCCAAGCTATCTCCAAAATTAAGCACCATAGCCACGCCAGGTCACAAGGGTGGTTCCATCACGCATGGCACGCCTGTATCCACAGCGCGTTATGAAGGTTTATTGCGGCAAATGACACCGCCTGGTAATCCAACGGTTACTGGTGCTGCTCCGAACGCTAGTGAACGAGGCGGTGGCGGCGGCGGCGCCATTAACGCAGGCTCCGCTGTACCAGGGACTCCGAAAGATACAGGTGGTTCAATCACACAAGGTACACCGGTGCTTCCGTTCGCGGTAGACAAACGCGGCACGCCTATATACGATTATCATCGTACCATCCGACATTCGCCTGTGACGGGCGGTGGCAACGTTCCACCCCCACCGCCGGGACAAGGTCCTACAAGTCAGGCAGCGTCGCCAGCCGTGGTAGTGAGTCATGGTGGCAGTCAGTATAATTCTTATTCTGCCGCAGGACGCCCGCCGCCCAGTTACTCGATGGAGCAACAATTGTCCAGCCGACAGATCATTATGAATGACTATATCACAAGTCAGCAGATGCATGCGCGTGCTCGTGGTAGCAGTAGTACTGGTGCATCTGTTGCTGCTGAGACGACCGGTAAGAGTGAACCGCCACCGCCACCGTCGTCTACTCTCTACTATACTAGTACGCCTCCTCCATCACAAACACATACGCAACCGCGGCAAGGTGTTATCCAGAGGCACAATCCTCAGAAGCAAATGCACTATCCACCACCGCCACCTGGCCTGGAGGCGTTCTCTAGTTTAGTGGATGTGGCAGTACAACAACCCAGTCTTCCGGTGCCACATCCGCACGGCCATCCAGCTGCATCCGGTAGTGGTGGCCACGAGGGTCTCGGTAAAACGATGGCAGATCGCCTGTTAGCTGATCGTTATGACAATAACCGCGCGTTTCGCGAGCAAGAGATACGGCTGCAGGAACATCGTATGGCGGCAATGCAGGCTGCAGAACACAGACTAGCAGTGGCTGCAGCGGTGCAGCAGCATCATCATCGCGATCGAGATAGAGAACGCGACCTCGTTCATCTACGAGAAAAGGAGGAACATCGTTTGCATCGTGAAAAGGAATTGCAACAACTGGAGCACCGTTTTGCGGTGCAGCAGCACCATCAACAACGTGAAAAAGATCTCCAGCAGCAAGAGCACCGTCTCGCGCAGCAGCGAGAAAAGGATATGCACGTCGAGCACGCTCGTTTGTCTGTGCAGCAAGTCCGGGAAAAGGATATTCAACACGAACATCGACTTAGCGTACATCAACAGCGAGAAAAAGAGATACACCAAAAAATGGTGGCAGCTGCCGCACAACGTGAGATTGAGCATGAGCATCGACTTGCTGTACAACAACAACGCGAGAAGGAGATGCAACAGCAGGAGCGACTCGCCATTCAGCAACACGAAAAAGATGTTGAACGTCGCCTGGCTATGCAGCACCGCGAAAGGGATCTGGCGCATCTTCATCAACAACAGCAACAACAACAACAACAGATCCAGCAGCATATTCAGCAACAACGTATAGAGGCCGAGAGAAGACATATTGCGCAACTATACAGAGATCAACAGCAAATCGATAGAGATTCGTCGAGATTAGCGAGCCTCGGATTCTCCTCGCAACCTTCCAGGCTTCAGCAATCTCAACAGTCTCAACAGCAGCAGCAGCAGTCATCGTCGTCATCGTCATCTTCGCGACAGAGTCAATCTTCCAGTCAGCAGAACGACTCGTCGACTCTCACAGCCGCCAGTTTAATTGACGCTATCATCACCCATCAGATCAATCAGAGTGTTGAGAATCCCGGTGCAAGCGGATCGTCAGCTAATCAGCCAGCACGTGCTGGCGATCGTCTTTTTCAGGTAGCCGAACATATTTTTACTTTTTCTTTGAAACCTTTAGTTTGTTGTAAAACGTACGCTATATTTAAAAGAGCTTTGCTTTTTGAAATTGCATTCTTATCGCAATCCTACTCTTTTTCGTCATTGTAGGGATTTCATCGTGAAAATCAACAAGAACCTAATGGCATAGCTCACAGTCCCGCTGGTGAAGGCAGCGGTGGTGGAAATGGTGGAAGCGGTAACGGAAGTGGCGGCAATAAAGCAATCACTCTCGGCGAGCACGTTGATCATATTGTTTCTAAAGATTATGGCCCGCCTCATTCGTCGTATAGATCCTACGCTGGGTAAGTCCTCGCGCAATGTAAGTCATCTCTTTAAACTCGATATTACATCGTGATGAAAAATTTCTTTTTATAAAACTAAATTACAAATCTCACAGTTATGAATTTAAGTTCACAGTTTTTTGCTCTGATAATATTCGATTAATTTTATTTTATTCGGTTTTATCGATTCTTATTTTATCGAATGTAAATCTTACGAATAATAAGATTTGTAATTTTATAATGTTCGAAAGCAGTTTGTTGAAACTTCCTATAAAAAGAAAGAAAGAGAACACATTTAATTTTTTTTTCTTAACCGCAATGTGTTGGCGAATACTCGTATATTATAAATAACGGAAATCTTTATTTTCTAAACAATAGATATCAAATTTCCGAAGATCAATGGAAGAGACGAAAACTTAATGAGCCGGACTCGGTGAAGACTGGGGACGAACGACAAATAATACGTGTTGCGCAACAGCAGCATACACAGCAGCAACAGCAGCATCAATCATCGGGAAAGCAGCAATATCATACGGTTGAGCCAGTTTCGCCGCCGGAGGCAACTACCAATCATTACGCACGTCGCTTGTACGATTCGAGCACTGCCACATCCACTTCCGGGACTCCCTCCAACAAGTCGCATTCGACGCCGTATGACGTGTCGCCATTCGATTATGTGAAAAACAAGATAGTTGAGGTGATGCGTACTGAGGACGACAAGGCCGGAGGTGGCGGCGGCGACGGTGGTGCGGGCTCCGATAGAAACGGAGGCGGCAATTCCGTCGTTGTGTCTGAGAAGGATGAAAAGGGGGCTAGTGCAGAGAGAAGCGTGGAGAGAAGCCCATCGAGTGGCGGTGGTGGTGGAAGTGGCGGTGGCGGTAATAGCGGAAGCAATGAAATGGTGGTCGACAATGCGGGTGGACCGAATCCAACCACTCGTGAACAACCACCACCGCCGCCTGCGCCCGCAGCTACTACCACGTTTTATCCATTTAGTGCGTTAGGGGTGCACACAGGACCACCGCCGGCCCCGCCACCCACCTCAGCTACATCCGCCTCTGTGGCAAAATCGGAACAGATGCAAGCCGAGCCGGCGCCGTTGCTTTCCTCGCAATACGAGCCGCTCTCGGATGAGGATTGATAGTCTTCTATAACTGTTCAGCGCTGTAACTGTTCTTACGCTAAACTGGCATATATTAGTGCGACGATGCATGGCTATTATGGATGCAGAGAGATGCTGTGGCATACGTCTTTTTAGGATACTCGCAGATGATCATCGATTGAAACAATGTTTAATTATATTGGACGATTTATCGATTATATTGGACGCTTTACAGGCAATCAGAAGCCACATTGCGTTCTTGTCGATCGCCAAATCCTAATCTAATTTAAGAGACTTCTTCTTTTTATATATACGCATATATATATATATATATGTACACACATACATATATATAAATATAAATATGTGTATGTAGATATATATAAATATGAAAATTTGCGATCTCCGGCGAGATAAATGGAGAAATATAATGTTTTAAACAGAGTCCCACACATATTGTTGTTTTACGAACTCTTTGTAATTTCATTGTATTTTTAGTCAAAAATCATTCCCGCGTCACGCGAAGAGAGGTAAATTTACGAAACGCATACTTCGATTTTATTTGCCTTCTCGCGATGTTGCGCTGGTTTTCAGTTAAATACATAGCGACGAATAGTTTTATCTAATAATTAGTTATTTGCGATGTATAATTTATAATATGATGCCGATATGGACATTAAAGTTATCTGTATAAATACATATATGTATAAGTACATGTCAACGTGGAAAACTAATTACATTGACGCCGTGGTTTTGATGGGCCCTTTTTTTAAAATCTCGCGAGTTATTGTACAGGTTCGGAGTTTTAGTTTAGCGAAATTTTATGAGTGCGATAGTTCTAAAGAAAAGAAATCGTTACATAATCGTTAAATAACATGTACTCGCCTATACATATACATATTTTTCACTTTTTAGGTTTTTTCGATACTCGCAAATGTATATGTACGTTAGCGTTTCATTTCGCAAAGGAAATAAATCGGGATCGACACTCGATATATATCCATTCTATTTCATATATGTACTAATATACCGAGTGCTCGAAGCTTTAGTCGTTCGATCGAGGTGAATTATTATTTTTTTATGTTGACTTGGGCTTGATCAGTCCGCAAAAAGACATCGGTATACGCGTAAGCATCCGATCTGTGAAACATCTAGGTCTATATATGTATATCCCATGTTCACAAACATGTTCAGACGCTTCTTTTGTACATAAATGAAAAACAAATATATGTAATCGTTAAGCGGTAATAATATACAACGCTAATGAGGGCGTGCGTGTTTTTATTTGGAATGAGTCTGTGATGTATCTGGGATTAATAGGTTCAACTGTGTTACATACCAGTGCAAAGCATAGCCTGTAGTTTGAACTGAAGATGAGAAAGAAAGAGAGTGCAAGAGAGAAGTAATGTGCAAGAAATGTGAAGGAAAATGCCGTACTACATATTCTGGCGTGGATAAATCGAGATATTCTGGCGACGTGAATCAACTTTCGACGATCGTTCTGATCTTGGTGACGTGGATTTAAGAAAACAGGAAAAAAATCGTAACACAAAGTGTATTGTACATAGTACATATTAATTTCTAAGTTGAACAAGTAATATGGCTAGATAATCCGTACACGCTACTGTATAAGAAATTTAGGTTTAGCGATAAAATCGACGTAGTTAGTATTTAGGAGTTTAAACAACCACGAACTGATTTTAAGGGGAAAAACTTTCTCCTGGACTTTAATTATTAATAAACGACGGCAAAATAAATATGCAGGCGATTAAATTGATGGAATTATCATTCGCGAAGCGAAATTGGAAGTAGATTTATTTTATCTGTTTCAAATTTGAGAAAAAAAGAGAGAGAGAGAGAGAAAAAAATGTGTATGCTCTATTACATACACAACACACGACACATACACGTATACATGCATACTTTTTATACAGCCTAATTTTATATTTGTAGCTTCAACTGTTTTGCGATCTGCGCCTTGTTTCTTCGCCATCGTGACACCCGACGAATTCTTCAAACGTCACTGCGAGAGTTACTTCTTTCAATCACTGCGTCGTGAATCACCGCTTCTGCCAGATTGCGCCTCGATAATATATATATAAAAATGTTCCGTGTCGTTTCGGACGACTGATGAAGACTACAGAGATTCACTGTACAAAGATGACTGCCTCCATTCGCACGCCAGCGATCAGACGATTAGCCCTCGTTCATTTGTATTTTCGCATTTTCTTCTTGCATCTTTGATACAACAAGTGTATCCTCCGGGCGGTACAGATATTATTCTCTTCTTAACGTTCTTTTTTCTTCTTTTCATCTCCTGTAACAAGCGTTCTCTGACATGGGCAGTTCATGATGTGTTGCTCGACGATTTCTTTTATCCTTTCCATAAAACATTGTGCAATTAATTATATAAAATATCAATGAGAAAGTACGTTTGAAAAAAAATTTTTTTAACGTATAAAATGCATACCAAATCGTATTCTAATCATATAAATTATATAATGTGTATGTAATTATTACTATATCATATAATTTGTGTTACATGACTTTTACTGTTTAAAGCATATAGAAAAGATTTTTACGTTTTTAAAATAATAGCTTGTGCACACTGAGAATTTAATTATGTTTGTACTTATTGTAATTATATATTGAGCATTCGAATATTTTATCTTTGATTTTTTTTATATAGTACGTAGTTTGATTTCTTGGTCCTAAATAATGAAGAGAATCGACGAGTCTCGCGGAACACTGCATCCTGTCATGGAAACGCTCACCTCCAATGATTCTTCACTGTACAAAACATAATTGTTGAGGTCCTGAAAAAACCGTCGAATGCTTCCAGAGTTAAGTGGAGATAGATATATATATATATATAGATCGTATAAATATATGCACACATACAGACACACATGTACACACATACATATTGAAGCGAATTAATCTAGTTAGCCCGAGGCATAACGTTTGCGGACATACAACAACGCTACAGCCGTGACTCGATCATCGTACTTCATACTTAGAAGAGTGTGCTCGGTGTCACGTTTCTCCTCCTCGTATAGTACCTGAGCGACACACAGCCCGCATTTAGCGATCGCCCCCGTCGTCGATGAAGCGCGAGAGTGGTGCGAGGTCTAATTCCGACATGAAGAAAAACGTTCGAAAAGACGTTTTATATTATCGTCCTAATGCCTAGAGAATAGAATATCGCAAGAACTTGATGTATATCATTCGAATGTTTTTTTATTATCGCATTCATCTCACGTGTGTTTATTATATTATAATCTGTTACGTTCATCCGTTACATCTCATTCGTAATATAAACTCGTAAATGCTCGTCGCAAGTGCCGGGGAGAATCGCACCACTTTAAATCAGATCACTCGCGCGATCGAGGTACGCCTTGACCTTAGGAGCAACTTTAAACACACGCGTGTTTAAAGACGGGTCTGCGTGTACATTATATAAAACGTTAAACGTACATACATATAAACACTTGCATACATACACAAAGGATAATTGTGAATTAAACCCCCGCTCTATTGGAGAGAAAAAAATCAGCGTGTACATATAACGTGTGACATGTAGTAAATATACACAAACTCCCTTTCGTTGGTACGTAGTATCTAAAGAGATCTTCAGGGTGTCGGGTCTTTCGTACTGGTCGATTATTCGCAGGCGATTTTCGCATTTCTCAACGAACTATCATTCCCTTTTCGAGAGAAGAAATTTGAACGATTTACTGAACGAATAGTAATCTAATCTCTATTTCCTTTTTCAAGCACTTGAAAGAACTTTACAATAACAGTTAATTGTCTTTTATCTTGCAAAACAAATTTTATATATTTATTACTGAAATCGGAATCGTTTTTCTTGTTTCTTATTATATTATATTTAGTTATATATAGAATACTTGTATACAACTGTATTATATAATTATATATGTAGAATATATATTATATAATATATTGTATAACTGAATTATTTTTGTAATATTTAAGTATAAAATGTAATCATTGGATGGTGAATCAAAATCTAGAAAACGAAACATGGACTTCCTTTGGCAAGTGTCTGGGAAAAAAAAAATTTAGATGGCTATTGTTGCAAAGTCTTCAATTGCATTCGATTTTTCGAGGGAAATCGTCTGTGCGTAAGCAATCTCAGGTACGATACAGTACTGTAACACAATAGATGTAAGAAGCGAAGAAAGATAATAAAACATCGACGGCATCTCTTCCTTGGGAATAAGAGAGAGAAAGAGAGAGAGATGCGTTTTTCGCGCAGCAAAAGAAAGGCGAGGTGAACTTCATCAATGCAGCTACCTACGAGTATCATCTAGATTAGAGATTTAGGCGACGTGAAAAGGCGAACGTCGCGTATATATGTACCTAGACTCATTTGTAACACGTCGAGGAAAGATGATCGATTAATTTGTTCAGTGTCTATCGTTCGTTCCCTATGACGTACGTGGAAGACGACAAGCCTGTACATAGTGATATGATAACGCCGAGATACACACAGCTCCCTCCCGAATGTTGTATCATAATAATATAATAATATTAGTATTAACAAAAAATAATAAATACATATGGCGCGATCGCAGAATTGTCAAGCTAGGGTAATAGAGTAAAGAAGAAAAAGAGGGAGAGAAAAAAAACGATGAGAAAAGAAGCGAAAGACTCTATTTACAAAACGTGATTATTATCCACGAAAACACGCTCTGTTAATGCGACTAATTACAAAACAAAGTAACTGAAAATTAATTATAGCGAGCGAGAGCATACCACGCCTACAGTAAAACTACAACAGATGTAGCATACACGATAATATTATTATCAAAACAGTTCAATGTAAATTGTTATTTTTGTTGAAATAAAAATCACCTCCGTTATAATAAGGAGCATCTCGCTTTCGCCTTTTGATTTCGCTCCGCATTGTTCCTCTCGAAAGAGTGATTTTTTATTTAAAAGAAACATATTTGCAAAATACAGGGTGAGCGAGAAACAAATTCAAATGAAAAATCAACATTTTTTTCTGTTCATTGTGATTACGTGGGCCTAGTTGGGAACGTTCGTTATGAAAATATTTAATTAAAAAGCGATAATCCATCTTAATATGCAATACATGTGTATCCCACTATAAGATAATTATTGGATCAATTCTTTTTTCATCATTTTATTTTGTTTTGTACAAAGCGCATACAAAATATACACACATTAGACATTCTCGTCGCTCTCTGTCGAACAGTGACAAAGATTTTCATTGAAATAGATCATAAAATATTACATAAATCTGTATAATCTATATCTTGCATACAATGAGGCACATTCGTCTCTTCGCGGTCAACGTCAAACCTCATGCTCATTATTCTTATACATTAAAATATTGTACAATGAGGAATACGTCATACGTAGGAAAATTTACTCATTAATAGATGAGAATTTTATCCATTATTGCTATTATTAAAGACTTATATCTATTTTACAGAATCAATTTATTTAGGGGAATTCTGTCATCAACATTGTAATCGAGTGTAATAATAATTAATATCTAGGATGCTTAAGAAAAGAGGGTAAAATAAAAAAAAACAGGTAAGTTAAGACATATTTTATCGGAATATTAATAACAAGTGTCTTCCGATTATTTTTACATTAGTTAAAGTATATGTTTATGATGTTCTTTTTTTTATTTTGAATTCTAGAATAACCTCTGAAGTAGTATTGATTATTGACATACAACTAAGAATCATCCTGTATAATTATTAATGTAAATTATGTAAATATGTATGTTGTACGTATATATAAATAACATTTATAATTATATTATAAATTATTTAATTATAATTAATTTCCTTTCATTGTTAAGCATTCTAGATTTATAATAGCAGCCTCACTCTTTTCACTTAATAAATCAGTAAAAACAATTCTTTTCACAACGAAAGATACAAGCGGCTGCATTAATCAAATAAAATATAAAATTTTAAAATATTTACACAATAATTCTTATAGATATTAGGGAATAACCAGGTACAACGGATTACACAGAGTAAACTGGCCTAGTCGTAAAATCTTGTTAAAAATATCTATTAACAAGACTTAGCAACTGGGCCATTTTTCGCCCAATGATTCGTTTTATCCCGTCTTCTCCTACTGTCTAAATTGAAACTATTATAGTAGATTGTTGCCATACAATGTCTTGCATTCAACTAAAGATTAATTATAATTAATCTTCCAGAAGAAGTTATTCACAGATATGTCCTTTATTCAGGGATATATTAGAGAAATATCCTGTTAGTATTTGTATTACGAACACAAATTGTAAAGCTGACTGTTGTTTTTCTTTTTACATCGAAATAATAATGATTTAATAAATTAATATATCCGCGTGCAAATCAGGTACATGAAATAAACCATGTGCTCAGGTATATTTTATTCATAAATTTAAAATAAAATAAATAAATCTTTTAAAAATGTTAATATACTCGTTTGTATTTCTGTTGAGTATGACATTACGTTCATGTCTATAATAATACAATTTATATAAAATATATATATATATATGAATATAATTATTGTAACGTTCTCATGAAATAAGAAATTACTTATTTTGTCGAACGCAGTTTTATATTCTTATATTTGAATTATGGAACACATAAGTTATAAATTATATACAATTTTTTTGTTTCAACAAGCGTCTGAAAGGTTAATCTTGTGTCCCATTATAATTATATCTTCAAATTTGATTTAAAAAAACAACACTAAATGTATGCGTAGATTTTAAATTTTATGGAGGAGGTTTTCGCGCTACTTCTTAATCAATAGACAGTTTATTCATAATAATAATGTAAAACAATTAAAATAATGAAATAAAAAGATTATTAACAATATCTTATGCCATTATATATAATTATTGTTAATTTTATGTTACGAAATATTTTCAAAATGACAAAATAAAAGTTGTAAAAAGTAAAATGCTCATTTGATGTATACGTGTCGCTCATTTGACATATATTCATTGCTTTTTTCATTGAAGAATATAAATTTCTTGTAAACTGTACAGTCAGTTTAAATGAAACTTTACGAGAATAAACTTAAGTATTTACTTTATAATTATAATGATTTTTAAATTGCTGTTTTATATGCAAGTGTTTCAATTTAAAAGAAAATAACTACAGAATAAGGTTATACCTTCAATTTATAATGTAAAATTCTATAAATTTAGAATTAAATATCTTCAAAATGGTACGGTAAAAGTCAATGAATTTTTTCTAAATATTATTGATATTATTAACTTTTGTATTACATGTATATTATAGACTTGTCTTATATTTCATCAAACGCGAAAACCTCCTTAATAATTCAATACTTTATAGTTTTTTTTTAGATCTTGGATTCTGTGAACGTCATTCAAATTATTGAAGATAGAAGATATTTGTATAATGCATGAAGTATTATTGAAAGATTAATTGACATTTTATGTGTGCAATCAATTGTTGTGCATACTGATGGAGGTAGTTCATCTATGCAGTTTATTTTCAAACAATGAGGCAATAGTTCTAAAATAGAAATATTAATATTCCGCATAGCTTCGATATCATTATTCAATTTATCAAAGTTGCAAATAATTGCATATATTTAATACATGTAGCAAAAGTATCACAGAATTTGTTGTTCTACTATTTGCTCTCAAAACGTGTATGTAAAAAATACTGTTTAAAATTAATATATTCTTATTATACGAATCTTAGAGTCTTATCTTTTTATGATAAAGTTTATACAAAAGTAAACTATTTTGCTCGATATAAAAAATCTATTACTTTATACTATAAAATGGTGTAACGAATATAATCTTGTATATCAACATTATCAACTAATACAGTGCTGGGATTTAGTTGCACATTGCGGCCTATTTTCAGCTTAATTCTGATCGGTATTTAGGCTGCGTGCGGGTTAATGAAATAAGGGGCAGGAACCAAGCTGAAAATCGGCCAAAATATGCAACTAAATCCCAGCTCTGAACATATAAAAATATGTAGCATTTATGCATATACCTACAATTTCAAGGCAAGTTATTTTTCTTCCAGTAATAATATTTGTCTCTCTATCGATGTGTGTGTGGCGCGTACGCACGCGCGCATGTTGTGCGTCGTTAAATAATTCGAACGAGATAAATACTGATATAAATATTATCAATCGTAATACGAGGGATACAATATATTCCATAAAATAGCTGTGGTCATAAGACCCGTGAAAGTAACTATGCTGGCCCACCAAATAACTTTTTCCCAAGTTTGTACCTCGAGATTTCGAAGGATGTTTATACCTACTAGAAGACCTGCTATAGCACCAGCCAAATGAGCCACATAGCCGATTTGATCATTGGTATCAAGAACATAACGATTGTATACGGCTTGGCCGACGTCAACACTCGTAATAACGAGGAACACTAATAGCTGTAGCACGGCAAATTCCATTTGCGACCAGTTCATTATAATAGTTGCTACATGGGCAGTGATTAATGCATACACACCACCCGAGGCACCAGCCAGGTAAACTGTTGGATCTGAAACGGACGTACCGAGGGAACCGGCCAGTACTCCAGCTATGTATATTATCAATACTCTCCACCATTTATGGACCATTTCCAGTGGAATACCCAACATAATTTGTACCAAGAGATTAACGACCAAGTGGAAAACTCTATCAAAAACAAAAGGAATTATGAATGTTAAAAATTCATAAATTCTTAATACGCATTACGAAAATGCGTAGGTTATAAAATAGAGTATTATACATACCCTACATGTACGAACATATATGTTAGATATCGCCAGGCTTGGTACCTCTTGTGCGGATTATAAATAAATAAAGTAGCTGCTGGTCCTTCTACAGAAAGAGATTTGTGCTTAATCACATCATATATGAACAAAATGATTTCTATTATCGATATGATTATCATTGCTATAGCCGGCGGTCGACAACTGTACTCTTCTTCATACAGCCCATCTGGATAGTCGCTAGAGTACAGAGAAGATTCTGTTATTGTACTTGTTTGTTGCTGTAAAGCATTAAAACGTGCAGAAGGGCTTCTTTCAATCACAACAGCCCGGGAAGAATCAAGGACACCAAAGGTTGCTATTTTTCTCAAAGGAGAACCACTACGATACTTAATCACAGGCGCTGGTGATGCTTGCATTACAGTACTGAATTGTCGCTGGGGATAATACCTTGAGCCCACGGAAGTTTGTCGTAATGTGCGGCATGGTCGTTGAGGTATCACACACTGCACATATCGTTGCACAATGTGTCCGAATATACCCTGCATATCCTTTCTGTGGATCTAAATGTCAAAAAATGATTGATATAAATTATCGATATAATTAATAATATATAATTAGAAATTTCCAAAATGTTTTACTAACGAAATATAGAATATCAATTCAATAAATAAAAAGGGCCATGAGCCAAAGCAAGTTATTATTGCAATTATTTTAATGTAAAAACTTTGATAAACAAACGTTTCGATCTTCTAGGAGGTCCTTCTCAATTAAAAGTTAAATTCTAAATACATAATAAAAATCAATTTTAAACTAAAAACAATAAAAGGACCTCCTAAATTCTAGAAGATTGAAACGTTTGTTTATGAAAGTTTTTACATTAAAATATTAGCAATAATAACTTGCTTCGGCTCATGGCTCTTTTTATTTATTGAATTGATGTTAATCATTTTGAATCATTTTATAATATTTCTTAGAAATATGGAAAGATAAAAACAAATATAATTTTCAGTATCCTTAAAGAATCAAAAGACTAACTAACCATTGCTATGAATTCTGGATATTCTAAGTAACCGGAATCATCCAGATCTGCTTTATGCATTATCGTGCGGACTACCCCAGCAGGGATGTCTTTAGAAAATTCTGGACCACGTATCATTGCTTTTAACTCTTGTAGCGATATTTTTCCATCTCCGTCAAGATCATACTTCTCAAAAATAGCTTTCCAATGCTGTAAAATAAATTAAACAATTAAATATATCATTATTTTGGCAAAGATACAAAAATTTAGCAAACATTATATCTTCAGTAAGATTTCTCAGACTGACCAGATGTTGTCAAGAATAATGTATTAGTGGTATAGAAGTAATACTTTCCTTTACAAGTGAATCATACACTTAAGCCTGTTAGTTTCAGTATGAGTCATTTACAAGGAAAACTAGGCTTCTAAGAGAAAATAATCATAGAAAACAGTTAAAAAAAAAGGAAAGTTTTAATAATATGATTAATATATAATAAAGATATTTTAATATCATTTTAATTCCATCTATTATATATGCTTTAATATACAATTGAATAAAGAATTTTTTAAAATGTGTGCCTGAAAACATTAACAAAATAATGCATCTATACCACTAATTTCTTCAATGGTAAACATAAAATACACTTACAGCTTCATTATACTGCAGTGGGATGGTCACTGCTGTCTCGCCTTCCCGATTAGTCGGCATCCTTAACAATTTGAAACCTCTGTAAAGTAAACATCAGATAGGCGTCAGTAAATTATGTTTTATGTCTTGCTAAAACTTTGTAAGTAATCAACACAGGCCTTAAAGCTAGAATGGCAGTAGATCTCTCACTCTTCTGAATTGGATCTCGCTCTCTCTCTCTCTTTCTCTCTCGCTTATCAAGTATCTACTTACTAACGGCAAGAGACCTATGTAAGAAGAATTTGAAGAAAATGCCGAGGAGGCAGAATCCTGGCTCGTCGCACCTAAAAGACTGTATCGCGAGGCGAAAGCCATGCGACGATGATCGTGTAACGATCAAAATAGCGAACGCAAGAAACACGTTTTACCTGACAAATCGAACACTGAGACGTCAATCGTAAATCGTGCGTAAGGTAGTTCTCACGCTTGTAAGAGCAGAAGGCTGTGAAGAGTGACCCTCGCTCCGTCCGGCGAAATATCTGGAGTTACTCTGTTCAACGAGGGACAGACCTGCACGAGCACGACCACCCACACGCACCTGCGCTCGTGACATTAGATCTTGCGTATCGAACAGTCACTCTGACCCGATAACATCGCAGTGACACATTTTCTTATCTCTCGCCGATACGACGATAGAAGTGTCGATAGAGACGCGCGGCGTCCTGTCAACGACGTCATGGACGTCATGGAGCCGTTCCACCTGTTGGCCATCCGTGAACGCGATGCGTCCCATCGCACCACTACGATGCGCCGTGCTATCGCCAAATTCTACGTACACATATGTATCCAGCGTATCTAACGTACATACCACGAACGTATACATACATACCCTAACCTTCAAGGTTCGGAGCAAGCTGCGAATGGCCGTGTGACGGGGGGAAAGCCCGAGAACTCACCGTCACGGCCCGGAAAAACCTTGAGAGGGAGACACGGGAGAAAGAGACGCGCCACTGACCTTTACCGCTTCGCTATCCCTCTCTCTCTCTCTCTCTCTCTCTCTCTCCCCCCCGGCCCCGGAATCGAATTTTCCGCGCTCGATCTTTCAAGGCAGGCAGGTGTCGATACGAGAGCGAGCGAGAGTTAACGGTACCGGTCGTTTCGAACGGCTGAAGCTCTTCTTGCCAAGTCGCGGCGACGGCCGGAGACATTCGGAGAAGATACGAAAACTGAACGGTCGCTGGAAAGTATTCCGCAAGGTTAATAGACCTATTTTTTTTCCGTTGTGTTTTTGAAGCGGGTCCTCCGCTTCGGAGGAACAGATTCCGATGTGGACAACGACCGATGACTCTTTCTCTTTATCTCAACCTTACAGGATGGATAGACAATAATAGTCGGGTAGCTTCTTTTTTAACCCGACTGCTCTGCGTTCTTTTTTTATAATAGTATACTATACGGTCGTAAACACAAATGCTTCAAATTCGAAAGAGGGAATTCTAGAAAATCTCTCTTTCTCTTCTAAAGCATGGCTGCCATGCTTTATTCAAATTGCTTGTCTTTTTCTGTAGATACAGGGTGTATAATATCCTAGACCTAGACAATTCAAGATTCACGATGCAACGCACGTCGTAGTTGTTACATCGATCGTTTATTATACGGGGATGTCCGTCAGGAAATACCTACATCTAATTGCGAGAAGTTACGGCATCGATTTACCGATGTATTCATCGGCGTGGCTCTGACTCATTGGAAATTTGCTAATCATTGCTAATGAAGCTATTAAAAGAAATAAAGGGAAAAAGAGAGAGAGAGAGAGAGAGAGAGAGTTTACATACGCACAGTATGAAGAATGTGCATGTCACGATTACGTATTGTTCATGTAAATGCGAATCTAAACGGAGATACGTAGGTATATTTTTCATGTCAATGATAATTTTTCCAAGTTATTAACGAGTATATTTTCATTCTTCCCACAGGCTACGCATCACTACGCACCTCGAATTTCGTGGTGATGATGCTCCATGTTTATACGTAGTATGTACGTATCACACCTCGCCAACCGGAGCGAGGTTGCCTAGCGACGTTACCGAATCAACAAACAAGCCACCCGATCCGAGAATCCCGAGATCATTGACAGCCACCGTTAACTTTTAGCTTATTCAGCATTCCGCAGTTCCCGTTTTGTAACAATAATCAAATCAAGTCTATCGTGTAAGATAGCGCGGCGAGAAAGGATGGTGGGCAAGAAAGAGAGAATGAGGATAGCGGCGAGTTATAGAGTGAATGAGCCGATACATAATTTAAAGATAAGGTGTGTCTTTTTCCTGTATTTAAATGCGTGACGTACAGAAATTGAAATTATAGTACTAACTGAGGTAATAATTCGATTGTACACGTGAAAGAGATTTCTACTTCTGTTAATTTTGCGTTGTATTTTATTTCCTGCCTTTTCATATATATGCGACACGTAATTTCAATTAGATTAAATTAAAACTTTAATTAAAATCTTTAATTAAAAAATTTGCAGAGAGAATTTGAAATTGTGTGAACGTAATATAAAAAAATAAAGCTGCAATTGTGCTTATAGAATTTTCTGCAATACGAATAGCATGATATCCGATGAGTAAATCAGCGGGAGATTTCCGAAGGCTAGAAGGATGTGATAGAGTGATTCCCTGTTTATCATATGGATTCATTAGGCCTGCATCCGAGAATATGTTTATGTAATCGATTAAAAGAACAAGTTCTTATTGCGCTTCATTTATCATATACGCTATTTAATAGATTATAGTATATGAAGATTATGAAATTTTACTTATAAAAAAGCTGATTAACATAATTCTCTTTGTAGATGGATATAAAAAAAAACTATAAATTATCTTCATGTGACGAATATTGAATTAATCTTTACATTGTAGAAAATTCCGCATTCCCAACTCGTAAAGATTAACCAAACTCGACGGTTAAACATGAAGGAGACAGCATACTTGCTCAATGCGATAATACAAACCTCCAGCATCGAGACGTTACGTAACTAGCCCGCGTGTACGTCGGTTACTTTTTTTTCATGTATCACCACTGATATTTGCGTCGGTGATTATATCTTTTGTTTCGAGATAATGTAATTCCTATGTTTTTCGCGAATTGATTTTCGAATTCGAAAGGAATGTTAAAGAAGTTCAAGTTTATACGATATCATCTTCAACGATAACAAATTTCAGACTCATAAAAACTTATATTATCGAGTACTATACATTTACTAGAGCGTAAAAAATCTAGTCAAAAACACACGAGAAATTAAAAGCTAAAAATATTCTTTAACGATTTAACGAACAAAATATTTGAAATATCTTTCTGCGTGTTTCTCTTTTTTATACCATTGAGAAAATTTTAAAAATTCCTCACGTAAGAATTACGTAAAGCTATTTACAAACTCGATTCTCTCATAATTAATTCGTAATCACTGACGGTGGCAAAGATGAAACAGTGATTGAATGTTAGTTAGCCTTATCTACATTCCCGCAGAATCAGAGAATGAACTGGGCATTTGATCGCAAACTACCTTTTCCAAATGATACCAGATTTCATTTAGTCGGCGTTTATTTGTTGTTTTAGAGTGCGAGTTGTGCAGGAGAGGTCTCCGCTGGCCGAGTTGCTGGCTGAGGAATCCGAGGGCGGCGAGACCAGAGACTCCAACTTTTTGGAAGAAGAGGACTGTATTTTTAGCTGGCAGGACAAAGTGTTCAGTCTGTTCGAGATCGACTTCTATGCGGATGAAAAAAATTGTCTGACCGAATGTCAGCGAGAGTATCATCAACGTATACGTGACGAGCAGTTGCAGGGTGCACATTTGTATTCGTACACGGAAAATGACTCCTACTATCCCGATGACGACCTCCTGACGATGCCTTACAGGCAGGGATCGAATTTAATTGTTAGATATCGTACTGATCGTATAAATGTGTTATTCGATTGCGAAGAGTTTGGACAAAATTTTTATCGCAACACTTATTTTAAAAGAACATACATTAACATCTTTTTTTAAACAAAAACAAAATAGGCATAAAAGATAAATTATGATCGACTCGCGCTTCCATTTTTCTAAGACAAAAGGATTGCTGTATAACACAGGAACGCCTTTTTCATTTAGCTTAGAAAAGATTAAGATATCAGATCAGCAGTTTGTTAAACTACAAGTGTGGTATGTATGTCAAGTACATACCACACTTCTATATCATATTTAGTGATTCAAGATTGAATTATTTAAGCATTTAAGATCTAGCTTCGATCGGTATAGGGCTCTAATTTATCGATTGTGTTTCTCACATATACGGTCTAAAAATGATATTATATATTTTAGGTTTGTTATATACATCGAATTCGAGGTATCAAAAAACATTGGAGAACGAGTGGGCTTTGATTTCTCCTTATCTCTCGTAACTTTCGAAAATTTTAAATATTTCCATTCTCGCTTACAGATCGTATCTGTCTGTGAAAAATCAGACCGCGTTACCGGCTTTGCGGAATCGCAAGTCCTTCCAAGAGCGATACAACAAGAATGTGATAGATGACAAGACCACAGATACTACGATCCAGTCTAATCATTATCTCTATACCGAACATACCACCATGTACGTGATGGCCGATCTGTCGCGTAGGGATGAACCCGCAACCATCGGATTGGCGGACTCAGAGACACTGCTCTGCACATTGACATATGATAAAACGCGCAAACTGCTGACGATTAATCCCGATTTTACGATCGAGCACGAGCAGCACTACAACGTCACCAATGATTACGGCGTCAGGTTTAATTATTGGATCGAGCACGTTTCCGAGGAGCGAACACCACTGGAATTACAGGAGCACCTCGAAGACGTGCGGCGTGTAAGTATGCGGCTATTTACGACGCGAATGTACGATCGGCATACCAAACTTTCGCGTCACCACACGCGCACCGATCAAAAAGACGGTCTTTTCGTAGAAAGAAACCAATCTTGACATTCTCGAGCGACGTCCGTTTATTTGTCCCGCAACCGCAGTTACATTAATAATTCTTTCCGCTCTGACTCATTCGCTCTTTCTCTCTTTTTCCGATTTTTGTGTAACGTAATACTATTTATAATTTAATAATGATTTATATTTAATTAATAATTAGTTAGTTAACAAACAGTTAATTCGAGTAATTATTTAATTGATAATTAATGGCAATTATTATTATAATAATTAAAAAAATATGTTTCGAATATCACTTGGGTGATAAACAATAACATATAAAATTAGAAGCGCACTTTTTTATTTCCATTTAAATTATATTTATTAATTTCATTTATCAGTATCAGACTTTAGATCACAGTAATATTTAGCAGTGAATGGTCGAGGACCAAAAATATGAAGCATGTTACTTTGAGAATACTATTGCTTAACTTTGTGTAGGGATTTTAAATGTATATAATGTGATGCTAGTCATCATTACTTTGCGAAAAATGAACTGCAATAATAGTGGAGCAAATAATTACGGTATTTCACAACGATGACGCTATTACTGTCGAAAATCATTTTCGTAACATTTACATAGAAATTTTGGAGGCATATATTATTTTATTAATTATCTTCTATATAATTTTTATAAGAAAACTAAAAAATTATACGTTTTTTTATATGGGAATCATCGGATTATCGTAATATTAAGTATATAACGATTAATTAATAAAATTTGAATTTATTTAAAATTACATAAATTCATAAAAGAATATGCAATTGTAATACGTTAATTGCGTAATATTGCACAAGCACAATTAATTATATATATATATTCGTATTATATTATACCAATATAATTTACTTTGCTTCGAAAGTCTGAGCAGTTGTTTTTTTATTTTTTGTAGATTCTAATTTTTGTAGAGAATTTGCAATTCTCGGTTATGCGCTAATAGCCTGGTCAAGTACGAGCAAACGCGACGCAGCACGTGCAGGAAATCCGAGCAATCCCGTTTATCGAATATTTTTTCAAGTTGCAATGGAGAGGTGCGATGAAGCAATTTAATGTATACATTTATCCACTCTCTTTGACAATAAGTTTTCGCTGTCTGCGAAAAAATATAGTGAATCCGTCACGATATGATGACAAGCCCATCATTATCTGGTATCAGAAGAACGTTGCAGAGTGTTTGCACGAGCGCGCTATCGAAAACCTTTTGCCGGTCGTATAGAAAAGGAGTAAAAATAAAGAAAGAGGAACGAATGCATACGTACCCCACGTAGGAGATTTCCGAGATCTGACGCATTGCTCGTTGTGGGTAGAACATGATTGCCGTAGCGTTATATACACTGTAACTGTCCCTGACACTCGACGCGGATTATGGCATCTTCACGAAAAATCCGTCAGTTCACCGATGTTCTTTCTCTCTTCCGGTCGTTCAAGACACACCCAACAGTCTTACAGTCTATCGACTTCCTCGTATTTTTAAACATGATAGAATAGTCTGCAAGATTAAACTCTTGCTATATTTAATTGGCATATATGAATGATAATCACGATAAGCGCGTGTGTTTGTATTTCTTTATAAAGGCGCGCACGTGTCCGCTGAGTTGATCACTGCACTTCCTACGATCAACTGAATCCTATAGTTCACCGACTATCTTCTTGAACGCTCTCTTCCATGAGACTGTATGTAGTGCTATCAGTCTATACGTGTGTATATACAGTTTATACGTGCATAGTGGGGCAGGAATATACCTGCAAACATAGAATAGTATGCTTTCGCATACTATCTCACAGCAATGAGTAGCTTCCATTTATCACTGCACTTTGCTGCAAAGCGGCAGAGATTAATGACTAATATTTCACGCGCTATTAGAGACTCTTATGATATGTATAGATGTGAAAATTTCTTTAAAATCCATGTCGTAAGCTGGATTTTTGGATGTATCGCTTATTTAAACTTTTTTTTATTAAAAATAATTTCTCTCTTAATTAATCTCTTGTTGTAAGCAGAGATTAATACAATTAAGAGATTAAGACACCATGATTTCTTATAAAAAATATATATATTTTTAAATAGTTAAATAATTAAATATGGAGAGAGTGAAAGAGAGAGAGAGAGAGGGAGAGAGAGAAAGAGAAAGAAATCTATAAATTGAATAATTTTGCAATATGCACTTTAAAATCATTAAACTCAATAAATTAATTAATTAAAGCATATTAATTGTAATGATCATTGATAATATCGATATTTATAATATTTTCCTCATTGCAGGAAGTACAACAGCAGTTTGCTTATAAAGAAACAGAATTATACAAGGAATTACAATTGCCACCAGCAAATTTATCTACACTAGTTATAAGTTTGGATATCGTGTCAGCTCATGATTTCTCTTACGATGGATTGTTTGTTACCTATTTCATCGATTTGCCGCAACACTGGAGTACAAATCAGAAAGAAAGATTGGTCGGCAGAACGCAGAAAAGTCGTTTAGAAAATAAAACTGCACATTTTAGTTATTGTACTGACATATCCTTGCATTATCCGTCAAATGAATTTCAGTCATTAAACAACAATGTATCATCACGTTGGCCTCGATTATTATTCTCCGTAGCATCTCTGGATAGTTGGACCAGGTAATTACAGTCGTAGAAAGCCTTGTTTCTCGAAATACACATATATATATTTAGTTAAAAAAAAAAAAATTTTTTTTTCTGTTTGTGTCAGCAATATTATGACAAAATATTGCTCTGTTTTAATATATAGGTATCGAATAGAAGGTTACGCAGCATTGCCAATACCAATGACACCTGGTAGATACAAATTTACAATTCCTACATGGCGTGCGAAAGGAAGTATTATCGATACATTGAGACGTTTTTTTGTTGGTGGTTCTTATGAACTTGAGGATGTAACATATTGCGGTATTCCAATTAACCACGAAGGTAAAGTTTTAGATAAATCAAACTTGAAAGTCGTACCGAGTGGGGATATCAAAATTTATATGAATATAATACATCAAAGTGGACATATGAAACATTTCAATTATCAAAGAGATGATTCGGACAAAGTGAGCACAGATACACTCATGAATAATGTTGAAAATGTTCTTGAACAATTTAAAGCAGCTAAAGAACGTATGATACGAATAAGAACAATAAATTCTTAGAGATAAATTATCCTAATGACAATTAGAAAGACTGGTTAAGAAATTAGTTAATATTTTAAAATTCAAGATTTCATTTTAATAATATACATATGTTTAAAATAGTGCTGGGATTTATTTGCACATTTCGGCCAATTTTCAGCTTTGTTCCTACCCCTTTATACTTCCCGCGCGTAGCTTAAATGCCGATTGGCTGAAAATCGGTCGAAATGTGCAAATAAATCCCAGCACTGGTTTAAAATAATGCATGTATTGTATTATAAATTAAAATAGAAAGTTAATTATATTCATAAGATTATAGGGTTAATTATATTCAAAAGGACGTGTGTGTGTGTGTGTATATATATATATATATATAATAATTTTATATTTTTCAGTGTGTATAATTAAGGCACTAGATATGTAGATATTCTTATCCGCCATCTTGGTTCCACTTGATTTATAGGTTATAGTACAATTTTAGTGACAAAGGTAAATGTTAAGAAGAGCCCAAATTTTGATAAAAATACACTGAATCGATGCGTTTTTGCATAAAGATAAAGATTTGACAAGAAAAAAGTGTCGCTCTGCTCCGCGAACCGAGATATTAATCCTTAAAGTCAACGACTATTCGGGTTAGAAAATTTGTTATAACAGTGATTCACTATGCTTTAAAAACATAAATTCTCTGTTAAAATTGTGTAAAAATTTCAACCTATCAGAAACTGTGTATTCCGGTGTATCCGATATCTGATAGGTTGAAATCTTTATTCCTTATTCCTTCTATTGTGGCTGCATCTTTACAATCAAGTAGAACCAAAATGGCGAATAGAAAATGGCAGATAGAATACTTATATATCTAGTGCCTTACTATACCTACTAATAAATTTCAATTATTTTTATTATGTTGAGTGTCAGAATGAATATTATAAATATGTGAGTTATTCTTCATATAGAGATCTGAGTGAATATAATATGAGAATATATATGTGCAATGTATAATGTAACAATAAATCTTTTTGATAAACTATATGATAATATATGGCACAGATTTTTCTTCTCTCTGATTTAAGAGGGAGTGGTCATTTGCATACTTTCAATTGCTCACTGCCAATCACAGCGACTTCTGTGTAGGAAGTTTTTTTTTTCTAGTGCTGTGATTGACTTGTGTGCAATTGATATACCCAGTAAGATACAAAATGATACATATAACAGATGTACATATTTATACCAATTATAATTGCAACATTATTTTCGTCAATCTTTAAAGCGTTCTTATTTTCATTGTATCCTTTAAAGCAGTTATGTTGGAATATATTTTGATATTGTTGTGTTATGAGCCAGCAGCAATAGCCACATTTTATTTGTTGTAAACAAAAATAATTATATTAACTAATTAATCCTTCACAGATTAATCTTCTCTATTTTTACATACTTAACTAGACCGGATCATTACCGCTTTTTAAAAGATTTTTACACATACACAATTTTATATTAAAAGAACTAAAAAAGATATATAAAATAGATACATAGTAAAGAGTAAATAAAACATAATCTATATCACATACATCAAACGAAATAAGAACATTAACACAAAACAAATAAATACAGAAATAAAGAAAAATATGAGAGAATAAATAACACAGTTGTTTACCTATTTTCTAAACTTTAAACTAAAGAATAATAATATAAAAAAAAACTTACAGATGCCTCTATATTGTCTATACCAAAATATCGCGCTCACACAAAAATCGCGTAAACTTGCGCAATACGCAACTTTTTAAAACAAACGTAATGGAAATCGCGGAACGCCTCTGATTGGTTACGCGATACGCGTTACGCGGAAAATATCAATCCATGTAACCGCACCCTAAGAATTTCAACCTATCAGAAATCATGTATTGTGAATACACAGTTTCTGATAGGTTGAAATTTTTATTCTCTGTTTCCTACTTCTTTCATTATGCGCAGCTTCTAATTTTTACGATGTTAAATCCCGATTTATTGGGATCGCAATTTTTGGAAATTTGAAAAATTCTAGATATTTTATTAAATTAAACTTGTTCGTTCATATTCTCTTACATTTTTTAGGATACATTTTATGCGTATTTGCATTAGGTCATGTAGCAGCGGTTCTCAATGTGTTAATCGACTCTACGGCAGAGGTTAAGAAGATTCTGCTGCACTGACTTGACAACACAAATAATTGTTATTATTGACAGAGTGATAATGTGAGCTGGAAGCGACGACGCATTTCTGGTGCATACTCGAGGGTGCGTTTGGTCGGTAAGTTCCGAGACCCAAGCGTCAGCCCCGTCGAGAAACCGCGAAATTTCGTGTAGGCTTTATTCAGCAAAGACGTAATTTTTTCTGTCAAATTTATCGTCACGAGGATACAGGTTATGTGAGCTCTGCGAGTAGAGCGAGTGAGTGAGCTCGTCCTCCCCTTGCTCGCTGTTGTTCGAGGCGAGTCATCGCAGGATGGGCCAGGGTACGGAAACGTGCGCTGACCGGCCCACGGAGGTCAGCGTCATCAGATTTGTCTCGCGAAACCGTACCATCGAGGAAATTGCACCGAAAAAGGTGAAGTTTTCGGTAGAGTTATTGGTCGTCTAAGGTCAATGACCCCTAAGTCAAAACAAATAGAGTAAATCAGAGCGGGTGCAATAATGAAATTTTTTGTTTCAATAAGTTTATTTATTTTTGACATAAATTTTCACTTAGTCAGTTTGTACTTGTCTTTTAAAAGAAACCTCTTAATACAAGCTAGTTTTTTTTTTGCTGAACTTTTGCACCAGTTCATCTTTCTTCTTCTTTTCTCCTGAAAAGAAAAGGTAGAAAGATGAACTAGTGCAAAAGTTCAGGTAAAAAGAACAGGTCTCATATTGCAAAACTATTTTTTTATATATACATATTTAGTATCTGAATTAATCGTAACTTGTTTGCCATTTGCATAGTTTATCAAATATTAATTTAATAAAATCTCAATGAGTCCAGATTTAGATGCTAAACACATCTGGAAATTATTCTTACATTTGTATTGATAATGAAAATATAATCAATATAGATATATTTTTTTCGGTATTTGTATCATCAGTGATTGGATTCCTATTGAAATGTTTTTTATCTGTTCCATATTCAATAAAGTCTAATATCTCAATCAATTTTCAATATATAGGAAGTATATACTTGCAAACAACGAGGTTGTGGTAAGGTATTCACTAATCAAGATGAATATAAAACACATGAGGCACTAGAGGCTTTGAAAATTCGATTTATGTGAGTAAAAATCAATTCACTGCATCACTATAATAGACAGCGAATAATATATATCTCTGTAATTGATTAATGTGATTTTGATAAAATATAAAATATTTACTAGTAAAATTAAGTTTAAAATTCATTATATAGGATTTTATTTATATCTTCTTATGAATTTTTTACAGTTGTCGTGAGCCAGGTTGTGGAGAAGAATTATCAGATCCAGGTAGCATGTGGAGACATTATCAAGAATGGCATAACAATGAAACAAATGTCTTTGTATGTCCATATACCAATTGCGGATCTTTGCAATCTACTAGCGGTAATCTTGAGGAGCATATTGAAAGTTGTCATAGACAACCACCCACACTGCCAATGGAGCCTGAGATAATTTGTTTCGAAGGCCCCGAAAATGCAATAGACGAAGAAGTCATGCAAAAGACTGACGAGGGATGTTATGAAAAACTGCCAAGCGAAAACTTTATTATAAAGGAAGAATATGGAAATAAAGAAGAAAATTGTTCCATTAGAAACGAAGCAAAAATTCAGGTGAAGAATGAATTTTGTCACGAGCAAAAGATTACGAACAGCGAAGACTATTCGAATAATGAATCTTTGAATGGTATTAACAAGTTTTCAAATAGTGAAGATCTGCTTATAATGAAAGATAATTTCTTACGAAAATACGATACTGGAACTCCAAAATGTGAAGAGATCCTTCAAGTGGAGTGCACGCAGGATAAGAATAATGTGGTTTACATAAATAGCGACATAACTATTACGAAAAATATGAAAATGGAAATATGCAACTTAAATTTACGAAATCAGGAGCATAGAATAGATTTAGGAAACATGGAACGAGTTTTTCGAAACGGTCTTGAGCGTGAAAATTCTTTGAAAATCGAAGAGAGCTCGATGGAAACAAATAGTAATTGTTCGGATGACGAGGAGTATACTCCAAAAAAGCAACGCATGTCTAGGTACAAACAAGAAACATATAAATGCGACGTCAATGGTTGCGGAAAGAAGTACAAATACATATCGCACTATCGTCATCATCAAGACAGTCATAAATTAGTCACAAATACAATTAATTCCAATAATGATAAGCAAATGCCAAAGGTAAAGCAAGGAAAGGCATCTACCGTCAGCTTCTTTATGTAAGTAAACTGATGTACATACATTTTATAAGTATGTTTTAGCTTTTTTCAACGTCCAAATATTTAATGTCTAGATGCAAAATGCCTGGATGTGGTGCACAGGTAAACAACGTTACTGGCCTATGGAAGCATTATCAGGACAATCATGCCAATTCCAAGCCGCCGGTTGTACAAACTACCAAAAACAATGAAGTATTTCAGTAAAGCGTTTACGAATCGATTTTCGTAATATTACTCTCGTTGCGGACAGCTCGCACACATAGCGTAAATAATTGTAATAATCCGTTATCAGAGGCAAGGTACTGGAATGCGAGGCAAAGTTGTATGTTGTACAAACATTTCGATCAAGTTTACTCCGATAATTTCACCAAGCGACAGGAACGGAAAGACTGGCTATGGGAGTAGCATTCGTTTTACTGAGATATTGCAAGAGGACGCTACTATCCGGTAGAGAAATTTTAAGACTGAATTCAAAGCCAAGCATAATGTTAATTTGAATGACTATGCCGAAAGTGGCGGCACCACTCATAATCTTAATAGTTAAAAGGAATTTTTTCGGAAGTAACTCTAATCTCGCGGAAAGTTTTCTCGTTTGGAATAACGAGAGAAGTCATGGTAATTCAGAGTATTTTACAAAGATTATTATATAACCACTTTTACGCGACTTAAAGCGCTTTAAGCTTACGTGTGGTCTGTAATTGAATGCTGTTAACTATGATCGATAAATTTCTAGTAGCTATAAGTGATATAGGCTTTGTAGGATACTCTGATATTGATCAGTAAATTGTATCGTCGGCATTTAAGAAAATTTATCGAGCAGCTTGATGTGTGCTGTGGCGGAATGATTAGCAACTTGGATAAATAGAGAATTCAGTCTAAAAATATACATATATCATTCTATATAAATATAAATTTTTCTCGTCGCTATAAGAGGCTAAATCCGCTACAGCGACTTGCACTTGTAATAATGAGACTTCTGATTCTCTGTACTAATTTTTACTATTTTATATTATGTCGTTTTTATGTAACTTATATTCCTTCTATACCAATATATATATATATGTCGATATTTACTATATCAGTGTATATATATATGTATATTTATATATATATACACAGATACATATACATAGTTGTTATATATATATGATATGTATATCATAACGTAAATATTGTAAAGCATTTTTATTTGTATGTCTATATGTTTAAAAATAAAGTGCAATATTAGGGACAAAATGTAAGCCCAGCATATAAACCCTATAAAATGATCTATTAATTTATATTATGTCGTTAAAATTATGTTAAAAAATATTTATATTTTTATTTCTGAAGTTATCAAATTATTATTGAAGTATAAGAGCTGGTTTCACCAACGCCAATTACTTAATCGACATTTAACTGACAATCGCATTTGCTGTTTAATAGGCCCTAGTAATCATTTGTGATATTTAGCGCATTCGAAATGCCATATTTGCTGCATTCCTAATATCTAACGAGCGATTGGTTCATTTTTCAGTGCACGCGTGTTTTAATTGGTTACGTATATTTACTATAGATAGACTTCACCGAATATAAACGGTTATAATTGGCAACAATTGGCATTGAAACATCTACTATATAAGCACTGCTGTCTCAATTTGGTTTCAGTTGGCAGACATTACACAAGTAAAAATATATATGGCCGACATGTCGACATTGCTCGATGAAATATGGAACTCTACTGTGTAGTCGAATGTAAATCTTTTATATTGGTCATTACACGATCCTGAGATAAAAAATTCAAGATACGTAGATTCCCTTTTAATCATCCGCCCGTAAAATCTCAGAGTCGCTCGTAGAATCGAGTTGTTAAATCGCTGACAAACATGGCGTATCGTGGTGTAAAGGGTTCTGATCCGTTTGTGTCAAAAACTTCGCGAAATGAACGTTTCGCGCAGATGTCAAAACAAGAGCAGATCATCCAACAGAAAAAGATGGAAATCCAAGCGAAATTGCAAGAACAGAAAGCGAAGGAAGCCGTAGAATGCATGAAGAAGTCTAGCTCATCAGCTTCCACTACAGCAACTAGTAAGGGCACTGCACCAAAGTAAGTCAAGTAAATCTCTTATGTATCATGTTCTTGTCATGTTAACTCAATCTTTCGGACGAAATTATGTTATAATTTATGTTATAATTTACGTGTTTGTCATCTTTATATTGACAGCTTGGAAGTATCAAAAGTAAAAGCATTGTTTATCTCTGTAGGGAAGATGATGAAAAGCCTACCATGAATGTGTTTGCCAATGATGGCAGTTTCCTGGATCAATTTAAAAAGATAGCCAATAAAACAACTAGCAAACAAGAACAAGATAAAGAAGATAAGAGAAAAGATGAGAGAAATTATGAAGTTGTTAGAGAGAGAGATAGGGAAAGGAAGCGCAGCAATGAAAAGAGTAGAGATTGGGACAGCAGACGCGATCGTCGAAGAAACGATACACGATGGGGAAGAAGTTCAGATAGGAAACACAGTTCGTCGTCGAGTCCGTCGCCTACCAGGCGAAGATCACCACCTAGTCCAGAGACACGGCATAGCTATAATCAATCACAAAATGGACGTGCACAATTTCAGAATCAGCAATTCCCAATTCAAAATAACAACCATGTCTCTTCCATCCCGTCCCTCATGTCTCAACCAGTGCAGATGCAAATGACAAATATACCGCCTCCGAATATAAGGAACTTGACACCAAATATTCCATCTGCGCATATGCAAAGGATACCAATGTCGAAAAATTTTAGCAATAATTACACTAACATAAATGAGCATTCTAATAATGTGAGAATGCAAATCGCGCCATCGCATATTATACGTCCTCCACCTCCTCCTCCTATTCAGAGCATTCCACCGAATACAAATGTCCCACCGCCAAATATGCAGATGTCTCAAGCTATGCCAATGCCCAACTTGTCCTCGCCATCAAACGCACAACAGCATATTATACAGAATCCGCAACAATGTAGCGTACCACCGCCAGCGTGCAATGCTAATTTACAGCCTCCGAATATTCCTCCGCCTAACATACCACCTCCAAACATTTTGCCACCAATGTCTCAAATGCCACCGACCATGATGCCTATTACAGGCTCGCAAACGATTGTAGTAACGGTACCAAACGTAGCTAATGTTCCACCTCCAAATGTGATAACATCTATGATAATGTCAGCACCTCCGCCAGTGCATACCGTCCCATCAACGATCAATTCGGTTCCACCACCAAACTTGAACATCCCTCCACCAAACATCCCGCCACCTAATGTCATTCCTAATGCAGCACCATCGCGTGGTCTCATGTCCAGCGGCTATGCTCTTTCTAATCAGGTACCTATTTCGGTGGGCCCTCCTAACGTACAAATACCACCACCTGTGAGACCACCGGCTAATCTACAAAATTCCGAACAACAAGGTATGATATTACAGTTAGGAAATATGTTTCTTTTGTGTCGCATAATTGTATAATGTTATCTATAAGCACTAAACACATTGTTTTCTCTTGTACAATTTTAATAATATTGTGGGATACTAGGAAGATATAAAAAATAATAAAAAAAAAATAGAGAATTAATATATACAATATTCTTCATATTGTACATACACATACATATATAGACATAAATATTTGAAACATTATTATACAAAGTAGCTGACAAAGGATTCTAAGTGTGTTTAGTAGAGGCTGAGCAGCTGGCACGAATCGTGGCTGACTGTGGGGATGAGATAGAACAAGAAGTACGAGAGAAGAATGCCCAAGATCCTAAATTATGGTAACTACTGTCCTCACTGGTCCTCGTTTTGTATTTCCATTTCCCTGTTCCTTGTTTGTAATATAATTAATACTTATATAATATCTAGGACGATAATATTTTATTTTGTATTATAGGACATTGTACAAATCTCTATCACATAGTTCTTGACATCTTAGTAATATGAAAAATTGAATGTATAATTTTGTTGAATGTCCGCTTAATGTGAATTGTTGCAAGTGTGCTTGCATTCCTAAATATCAACTGTGTCGCAAAAAAATTGCTGATTACAGAAATTTATCTACACATTTCTTATATTTTTATGAAGCAAATTATTTTTTCGTTTGACAAAATTGTTAATAATGAATGTATTCTCACATTGAACATATTTTTTCTTACAATCACAATAATGGCATCATATATATTTGATAACCCATAATTCTTTTAGCATAGAAAAATATTGTTTCTCTAGACTTTAAAATGTTCTATTTTTACTAATATAATTATTTTTTATATGAAAGAAATTAAGAACTTATATGAGAGTATAGAGAATGTTACAAAAGATATGGTATACGAAAAAGCTTGAGGCAAAATATGCAATTATCTTCTAAATGAATTTTTCTGTATACATTTTGCTGCAAAGTTTTTATTTGTGTTGCATTCTTTTATTGTTTAGTTTTAAACATGTTTATTCTCAAAATTCAAGTTTTGATTATGTTATTTTTAATGTGTTTAAAAAAATACGATTGTTTAACTAATAAGAAAATATTTTATTTAGATATATTTATAAAACATTTTATATTTAATGAATATTCCAATATCTATACCTATTCAATATCTATGCTAAGAATAACCACTGATCTATGCTTTACATTCTAAGATTTTATGCGATGTGGATTTCAATATTAATTATAGACAAAAAAGACAAAAAATTATTTCAAAATTTCATTTTACAACTTTTAAGTTATAATCGTATCTTTTGAAGCATAACTGTATATTCTTTTAAACTTACGCTGTTTCTTGTTTTTGGTGTTTACATGTTGCGTATATTTTCAAATGTTAGATATATACTATGTATAATATCAATGCCTCCAATTTCCTCAATCCAAATAATATTTTAAACTTTTCTTCTGCTACTTTTTACTTTTTATTGACGTTATATTTTTTCTATGAAAGTATTGTATCTATAGGAATACATATTACTAGACAGCGTTTTAAGTATCATTTTAATCAAGGTTTCTGCACCAAAAGCAAAGTGCAGCGTATCTGCAGTACAGGGGATTGGTTTCAAAATTACGTGCGGAGAAGCCAGATAAGGATAAGAAGAACAGTGGTGCAGAACTTTATTGTCCTGAAGAAGCTCTTAGTGACAATGACGAGGATAAATCTCAGAAATCTCATTCAACTTCACATGGTGAATATAACTACATGTATACATGTTCAATGACATTTAGCACAAGTTTTATTAATACATGTTTTATATATGCCACTGTTAGCAGATCAGTCAAAGGACGATAATAAGGATGAACGGAAAAGAAGAAAACGTAGTCGCTGGGGTGATCCAGACAATAAGGTTCTCGTTACAGAAACAAATGTACCTTCTGGTAATAGATCAAGTGCTGTACTTTCACAACCTGGCATAGCTATACCGGGACAAATTGGACAACCTGCAGTCATAATACCTTCTCCATCAAAGAGACAACATGTTAAATCAAAAAATCCAATGCTTACCAAGATTTCACGTAATGATCCTGCACTTATCCATTATGCGAGACAGACATTTGGCACACTCGATTTAAGCGAAGAACAATGGAAAAAAGCAGAGGATCATTACAAGGTAAAGATTTGTTACATGAATTATAAAAGATACACACAAAGTATATTAAAATTTACTCTCTTTATCTGATTTATATGTAAATAAAAATATACAAAAGTGAATTTTAAGGATCAATTATAATTTTGTGTACAAAAAGATATAAATAATTTTTTTTAGATCAATCTTTTATACCAAAATCTCTTAAGAAAAAGAGAAGAAGTGAAACGTTTGGAAGCACAAGGAAAACATAAATATGAGTACGACAGCGATGAAGAAACGGAAGGAGGAACTTGGGAACACAAACTGAGGTCCGCTGAAATGGAAGCAACACAGATGTGGGCCGAGGAATTAACTGCGCAAGCGGAAGG